TTTTATCTCTCTTTTTCACCCTACCAAACACACTGTTAAGGCCCCTAAACTTTATAAATTTGTTTTCAACCTATATGTATATATCAAATTAGGTATAGCTCTCTCTAAAAAAATTGAAAATTTAATATTTGAACCTTTAAAAATGTAAAAATACTACTTTTTAAAAGCAATACCTTTAAGAATATTACTTTCTGAAAAATACTACTAATTATAACTTTAAAAGCCATTTATAAGTAACTAAAAATAAATATCACATATCTATTAGTTTATATACTTCTAACGTTAGCATTAACTTAATATCAACCAACTGAGAAAGCAACAAATAGAGCAGAGAAGGAAAAGAAGGAAAAAAAAAGACCAATACAAACACTACTTGTTGTTACCACTATTGTAGACAGTATTTTTTGTTATAAATTTTATGAAGAATTGACCATGGAATCAAATTATAAATTAATTGATTAATGATACTTTTTTAATAATCTTGATAACGTGGTTATTATACATTATTTTTTAAGATTTGAAATACAATCGAGAACAATTTCTAGTTACTTAATAATTAAATGTTATTAAAATTTTCATGTAATTAAAATTAGCCGCCCCCCCACATAAAAGTTCATGGCTTCGTTACTGCCAAGGAACATGGTTAACTAAACGGTTACGGAAAAAAAAAAGAAGACATTTGATGTCAGATACAGGGTTCCAAAACTCAGAAATATTAGAAGAGTTGGAATGGATAGTATGAATAATTTCTAAGGCATCAGTCTATAAAATCAAGTGGCAAGCCAAGATTTGTAACCCCAAATGAGACTGATTTAGAGCAGTTGCTTCACTTTTTTAGAGGGAAACTTTTCAAAGCATCTAAAAGATAAGACAGTTATAACAAAGCCTTCACTATCTCGAATCAAAACACTAATTTCAACAAGGCTTTAAAGAATTAGAAGGTCGGAATTTCAAAACGTACTGAGCAAAGAAAATTATAAAATTTACCCTTAAAGGTACATATATTTAAATTTTTACATTAAATTCTTGATTAATACCATTTTATTATTATAGTTGTTGACGGTTGGATTTCGTCAACAATAAACCCGCCGGATTACCTTGAGGTTACCCTTTAGATTATCGGCTTGTGGGTTTATTGAAAGTGTGGATTCTAGTTTGAGTTAAGTATTTTTGTGTTTGAATGAACTGTATGTAAATGAACGCCAAGAGTCCCACATCGGTTGGAGACGGGAGTCTGGAGAGGTATATGTACCAGAGTGCCAACCCCTCCTACCAGCGAGGCGCCTTTTACGAAGGGACAAAACTCCACCCGTCACGGCGGGCCCAAGTGGGGACAATACTTTGCCGGTAGGCCATCGGTGTGTGAGAAATTCTGGTATCAACAGTTGGCGACTCCACTGGGGACGTTTGGCCACGGCCTGCCTTCCCAGTCCCCCGTCTCGGGGGGCACTGTTGTATGCCAAAAGTCCCACATCGGTTGGAGACGAGGGTCTGGAGAGGTATATGTACTAGAGTGCCAACCCCTCCTACCAGCGAAGCGCATTTTACGAAGGGACAAAACCCCACCCATCACGGCGGGCCTAAGTGGGGATAATACTTCCCCGATGGACCATCGGTGTGTGAGAAATTTTGATATCAACAATAGTTATTTTTCTAATTGAGCGAGGCTTTGTAACTTAAAGAAAGGCACAGGCCAGATGTGCAAGACTATTCCCATTACATTAGGAAATGTCTATATGCAATGTACATCGATCAGCAGAAACCCAACAGTTTTTTTTTAATATAATGTGGGGCTTGTGACTCTCATTTTACTCAATAAATGAAACCATTAAAATTCTGTAGACACACACGCACACTTAACCACTTGAGCTAGCCTCAAGTGACAATGAACCACTTGAGAAACCCAACATTCTAAATGTACAATTATGGCCTTTAAGAAATGCTACATATATTTTTTCTATCATTCTCTATTTAACACGTAGATTAAACATAGATTTCATTATTTTACTAATATAGTATATTATTATTTAAACAAAAAATAAGATATAAATAATGAGTGAAAAAAGTGATAAAAAAATAATAGAAAAAGTGTTATGGCATTTCTTGACGGCCTTTTGTTGCCATCTCTTGACAGTGTTTAGCAGAGTAAACACTTCTAAAACTTCTGACATGTTATTTTGTCTAAAAAACTCAAAAAAAAAGACAACTCGAATTCTAACTTTATTCAAGTTCACGTTCTTTTAAGTTTTAACTTTATTCAACTTTATTCAAGTTACAACTTCAACTCAAGTTATAATTCAAATTCAACTCAAAAACTACACTCAAATTACACTTCAAAAGAACAACAATATTTTATTTGTTAAACTAATTATCTCGGAAAAATAATAATTAAAAAAAAACTCCTGTGGACTCAAGGGAGTTAAAGTCATCAAGATGTGGCCTCGTGGGGTTCTGAAGCCTTGGATGGCGACCAGAACGAGGTTATGCCTTTGAATTAACTAAAAATAAAGTATTTTTTGTTTGGTAAAAAATAGAAAAATAAAGGTAGTCACAGATTTGGACACATTTTTTTTTTGATAATTACAGATTTGGACACATTGGTAAATTCCTTTTGCACATTCCGAAAATGCTTGTGCGATGGACGTGTGCATTGAAACTTTTTTATATTTGAAAACCCTAAAGGCTTGGAATGGTCAGAGGAATATAGGATGGAAAAAGTTAAAATGATAAAGAAAATTTAGGATAATTTCTCGTGTTATTTAGTACGGGGAGAGAGTTGAAATGATTAACAATGAATTATTTGTTTTACAGTTATTATGATAATTTATGGTAGGAATTATTGTTTTTCATGATATGTAGAAACTGTTGTTTTAATTTTGAATTAATTTTTTAACAGTCTCTTTTATAATTGAAAGCAATTATGTATTAACCATTTAAAACTATTTTTAATATAAATATTAATGTCAATTGTATATTTAGTATTAAAAAGTATGATATAATATGTAATTTTTATTTTTACTCTAATACATAATGTTATTTGAAATGCTAAATTTATTTTTTTCATAATCACTAAGCCTTAAAAGTTGTAAAAAGTAAACTTTATTTTTAAAATAATTAAAAATGCAAGAGTTGCAATGATTATATGAAATAGTAAACATTCAAACTAATAACAATTAAATGTCAAATTTATCATATGTTATAATTGGTGGAAAATTTATCACAAAATATAGTACCCGTTTGGGATAGCTTGTGCTTGTGCTTTTAAATAGTACAATAAGATAAACATAAGTTGGAGCTTTTTAATTAGTGTTTATATAGTGCTTGAAAAAATATTTTTATATCTAAGAAGAGCTTTTAAATCTGTTTGGGTAAAAAAGTCAAAAGCACTTATGTGATAACAAATAATGTAATAAAATGATGTAGATGAGATATAATTTATTCTTCACAAATAAAAAGTTAAAAATATAAATAAATAAACTTTTCATAAGTACTTTTTCATAAGTACTAAAGAAATGTCTTATTCTAAAAGTTTTTAAAAAAGTCAAAAGTATCAAATTTAAATATATTATGCGTTGTAAATTTTTAATGTGGACACACGCGGTTGAAAAACCAATTCAAATATTTAGAACAACAATTTTGGTAGGATGGTGTGTTCCACTAGAGTTTATTTATTCTTTTTGGTGAGAAAACGTTTTTAGTTTATGGAATTCAACCAACGAAAAAGCCGGCACACAAGAGGCATTGCGATGTTGCATAACATGACTTGATCATGGCAGTCCTCTGGTCAGCATTTATCTTCCTCGAAAGTCTCTCACCCGCGGGTCATTTGCACGATTTCTTCTCATCAACGTGGCTAGAAAATGCCACGACTAAATATAAAAAAAAAAAAAACAAATTTGGGTTGGCCATATTATATAAAAAAGTAGCGAGAATAATGGGGTGAAGAAAAAAAAAGAAAGAAAAACCGCAAAATGTTTTTGGGGAGCTTCTTTATGGACCAATGATTTGAAGGGGTGACATAGCAATATTTATTGTAGGGGGTGATTTAATAATTCACCCGAATGGAATCTTCTTAAGATGGGCGCGTTCACACAATGGAGTGTAGATACTTTTTTTTTAATTATTTATTCAAAAAGTTCTAAAGCTGTTTAGAGCTTTTAAATGACGTATATAACCTTGACTTGTGCGAGGATAGTATGCAACGCTCTCTTGAGATTTTTTTTTTTTTGTTGTTGTTGTTGTTGCTAGAAGTCTGGAAATGAGAATTTGACATCAACTTTTGCAAACTTGTAAGGGGTAAAAAGGGAAAAAAAGAAAAAAAGAAATATATCAACAAATCTATTAAATTTATTTCGTGCTAATTGGGAAGAAATCCACTTATTACCAGATTTCTTTAACTTATTAACAATTATAGAATTTTCCTACAATAACTTCATATTTATAGGAAGTGAAGCAAGATATTTGTGACGATGTCACATTTCTTTCTACACCAAAGAACCAAATCTAATATAATCTAATTATCAATAAATAAGATCCAATTATATTATAGTCAAGGTCCAATGCTTACATGATTATAGTGATATTATGACACACCGGATCATAGCTCATTCCGCCACGACTTCCTTTTTGACCCGAACAACGAGGGCAATTTAGTCAAACGAAGCGATCAATTCGATCCACATTTTCTTTTTAATTACATAATGCATTACATACATGCTTCAAGTGGGCCACACCAACTTTATAGCCCTTTCGCATGAAACGAGCCTGTTTCCTCCAATCACACTGACCTCTATTTGGTAGTTTTGGTGCTTTATTTCGTTTCATTAAAAATTTGCCACCTACCCAAATCATTGACCGTACATCCATATTGTCCAAACGAATCACATCCGTCCAAATTGATATCCAGTATCGGCCACACGATCTCCAAATATCCGACGACCGAGAGTGAATTACTAGAACTTTCTGTCCTTCCTACCCCTATATCTTCCCCATTGCCGTCTCTCCACCACCAAAGCTCAGTCAAGGCTTGTGCTCTGCTCGTGTCAGTCCCGCGCTAGGGTTTCGTTAGTCTCTCGTTTCTCTTCCGTTCTCTCTCGTCTAAGCTTTTCTGCTCCAAAAGGTTTGTTGCGATTGTTTTGTTTTCTCAATCATCGGTTTCGAAATTTCCGATCTGTTATGGCTTCTTCGTTTCTCAATCTCTGTTGTTTTTCTGCGAAATGTTGTTTCCTAACGATCTGGAGTTTCTGATTTGTTTGGTTTGGAAGCAGAATCGGCGATCATGGCCAAGAACTACCCAACCGTGAGTGAAGACTACAAGAAGGCCGTCGACAAGGCCAAGAAGAAGCTCAGAGGATTCATCGCTGAGAAGAACTGCGCTCCTCTCATTCTCCGACTCGCGTATGTTTCTGTACATGTTGATTTTTCTGTGTTTGTCGTTTGTGAATGAATCTGACATTTCATGGAGTCTTTTTTTTTTTTTTTTGGGTTGATTTCTGCCTCTGCAGATGGCACTCTGCTGGGACCTTTGACAAGAAGACGAGGACCGGCGGTCCGTTCGGAACCATTAGGTACCCAGAGGAGCTCGCTCACGGCGCCAACAATGGCCTCGATATCGCCGTTAGGCTTTTGGAGCCCATCAAGGAACAATTCCCTATCATTTCTTACGCTGACTTCTATCAGGTACTTTAATATCTCCTTTTTTTAATTGTTCACTTGGAAATACGACGTTTTACTTTTGAATCTATCTTTACACACACGCACACATGTATTATTTTATGGTTTGTTGACTCTAATTTCTTTTTAAATTTTAGTTGGCTGGTGTTGTTGCTGTCGAGGTTACTGGTGGCCCTGAGATTCCATTCCACCCAGGAAGAGAGGTGAAGATTCTTCGCTTCTCACTTTATAATTTGATTTAAATCCTTGACATTTATGCGTTTGATTTTCTTTTTTAAGTGTTTGTTCATGTGCTTGAAATTATGTTGAAAATATTTATGTGTCTTAATTAGATCAATTGTTTAGGCTACTTACGTGTTTTAATTAGATTTCTAATTTTTGTACTCTAAATCTGAATTCTCTGGGTCATTATTTTCTTAATTTTCATTTTAGAGCATGTAGTTAGCTTTCTGATTATTTAGATTTTTAAAAATTATTGGCGGGGAGTGATTTTTGTTAGTTTAGTGGTTTCGTTGTTCTTTGCTATTCTATCAAGTGTTTTCTCTTACATGTTTTGCATATTTGTTCTTTTTAGTTTGTATAAGTAATCATTTATTTGCATTGACAGACTGTTGGTGGATGATTTAGTTACTGTCTGGTTGAATGTTTTGGCGATAATGTCATGTCCTATTTGGCTTCGTAATTAACTGTCATAAACAGATCAATCATAGAACTTTTCTTTCCCAATTGTGTTTCGAACAATACAGCTATTATGATGATATTTGCCAACTCGTTAAGATGAAATTTGTTATCCTGAGTGTGTTGGTCTTCATGAAATGTGCTTCATTGTTTTTCCCTGTTACAAAGATTTCATTTGATATTGATACTTGCCCTTTAATTGTCAGGACAAGCCTAACCCACCACCAGAAGGCCGTCTTCCTGATGCTACCAAGGGTCAGTAGTCTTGTAACTTTGTATATTGTAGACTGTAGGAATGGATTTTTATGTTTTTTTGTTGTATCACTTAAAACAATTGGAGTACTGATTTAGTAACGTACTTCTTTGGTGTTTCAGGTTCTGACCATTTGAGGGATGTGTTTGGTACCATGGGCCTCAGTGACCAGGATATTGTTGCTCTCTCTGGTGGTCACACTCTGGTATGTTCATTCTTAGATGTGTCTTTCATCTTTTCATTGTAACTATTTTTGGTGTAATTTGTGTTAAAACTATCGAAATTTCTCAGGGAAGGGCCCACAAGGAACGCTCTGGTTTTGAGGGACCCTGGACTAGCAACCCTCTCATCTTTGACAACACCTACTTTACGTAAGTGTCATTTCCTGCCTTTGCTTTAGTAATCGCATTTTCATGTCTTGGCATTAGGAGCCATAGTTGTTATATACGTATATTCTTAACAATGGTCCTCAATTTTTATCAGTGAACTCCTGAGTGGAGAGAAGGAAGGCCTTCTACAGCTTGTATCTGACAAGACACTTCTGACAGACCCCGTCTTCCGCCCACTGGTTGAGAAATATGCTGCGGTGTGTATCTCGTTTCTTTCTCTATTTGAATTTGTCTATGTAATAGGATTTCTCCTTAAACTTGTTTGTTTGACAATCTTCTACTCAGGATGAGGATGCCTTCTTTGTTGATTACGCTGAAGCCCATCTCAAGCTCTCAGAGCTAGGGTAAGGCAAATAAAATTTTAATCGATTCCATTACTTGTAAATTCTTTTTTCCCAAACTTTCAGATTTGCTTACTGTTTATTTTCTGTTGCAGATTTGCTGATGCCTAAGCATGGGACACTCACGATGGTGCAATATCTGCTTGCCTTGCTTTTCTTTTCTCTTTTTTTGTGTTTTCATTGTTGGTAAATGACGGAATTGGTGGATTTTCTATCAAGGATTAGAAACGGAAGAAAAAAAGGGGAACTAGGTGGTTTTCTGCTGCGCTTTTTCTTTTTTGGGACGTGTTTGAACCGAAATATTCTAGTGCAACGCAGTGGTAATCAGCTTTTTAATTAAATAATATTACACTTCTAGTCTGAATGTTCATTTGGATTGCTCTGAGGTTTTCTACCCACATTTTTTCATAGACTACTTGAATTGTTCTGTTGTTTGAGCTCTGATGGTTTTTTCGTGCGTTAGACGCAAAGAAAGTTCTTTAGATTTGTGAACGCTCTTTTGGTTTTTTGTTTTACGAGTTGGGCCATTTCTAGTTCAGTAATGTCGATTGATGATTTTGTATGAGGAGGTCAGACGGCCTGATTGCAAAACGTTGATGTCGTTAGTCTTCTCTATGACGACGTTGCTGGACTTTAGGGGCCACTCATCAACTCAAGAATTTGTCCCGAGTTGATATTATTTTTTTTGAATTAGAGTTGATATTATTACGTTAGCTTGTTTAGTTTTTTTTTTTTTAAATTTGAGGTGAGATTCGATTTTTTATTAAATTTTTTTTTATTATAATAGAGAAGTTAAGATATGATTTTTTGTGAGTTTTTAAGGCCTGTTTAGTTTGTTGATTTGAATTTTTAATTTGAGCTAAAATTTAAATTGAGATGTGATTTTATATGAGAATTTTTTATTGTAATAAAAAAAATTAAATGTGATTATTTTTTATAATTTTTTATATTAGTAAAATTTAAATTTTAAACTCTTATTAGTGAAATAAACGGGTAGTAAATTAGAATTTGAAATGAGGGTTAAATTTAAGGAAGGCCTTGTCTTATTACATCTCTTTGAGATAGTCCATCCCGATTAAAGTAGCAGCATCGTTTAAAAATACTCAGCCGGTTAAAGTAGCAGCATTCTTCGATATTTCGGGGTTGTTCTTTTAGAGTGTAATTTGAGTGTGTAGTTTTTAAGTTGAATTTGAGTTATTACTTGAGTTAAAATTATAATTTGAATAAAGTTGAGTAAAGTTGAATAAAATTAAAACTTAAAAGAATATGAATTTAAATAAAGTTGAAATTTAAATTATTATTTTTTTTTAATTTTTTAAACAAAAGAACAACCCCTATACTCGAATCTCATGCTCAATGTTGACTCCAGAAGCTACAATTTTTTCTGGGATACACACTATCATACGCGAAGTTATTGACACAACTGCCAGGCGTGTACACCAACGCCTGTTTGATATCTCATGAATTTAGAAATTAAATTAACTAGTATATACGTTTTACTCAGAAAAAAAGGGAAAAAACGGGATAAAGAACTAGTATATACATATTTTGTTCACAAAGTCATTCCGCATGGCATAATTACCCTTCCATGTAACAAGGATGGATACAGCACATTAAGTTGTTAATGGGATTAATTAGTTCAAATCAACAATAAAACTTTCAAACTAAAGGCGCATTATCACGGTGAAAAAATATTGAAGCATTTAAATAAATTCTTAAAATAGGATTCTGTCCCTAAAGAAACTAAAAATTAATAAAAAAGGGATTCTAGATGATTTTCTAGTCATTTATTGAAGGTAAATATCATTTCAGTACCTTTTGTTATAGTAAAATATGCATTTGATACTTTGTGTTTTTTAAAATTTCAATTAGGTACCTCGACGGTTTAAAAATATTTTTTTAATATTATGGGGCAATTTTTTTTAGGGATGTTCATCCGATTTAAACTGCACTTTTTAACTCAAACCTATCCGATCTGCACATTTTGTGGATTTTAGAAATTTGCATCCAATCTAATCTGTGATTAGCACATCATCCAATCCAATCCTTTCACAATGATGGTGCATAAGAATAATGGTTAAATCAAACATGTATATACATACATTTACATCTTAAAATCCTTTCACAATGTGAACTCTATATCATCTAAATCTCGACACAATTTGCAAGCAAATTGACAGTGTTTTTCCAATTAATAAACAACACATATTGTTTGTTGGTTGGGCTCGAGGAACATCGTAGTATTTAAGTAAAATGGAGAAAACTAATCTACTTTTAGGTTCCATTTGATTGGAGATGGAGAGTAAGAAAGATAAGAGAGTTAGAGGAATAAGAGTAAGAAGAATGAAGGGGATTATAGTAATTCTTCATATGTTGTTTGGTAGGATGAAATGAGAGTTGAAAGAATAGACAATAATTATTTATGAAATTACTAAATTATCCATTATACACTATTTGTTAATAATTTATTTAAAGGGTAAAATAGTCTTTCAAATTTTAAAAAGTGTGCATTGCTCGAATCTTTTCATTAATAGAAGGATCCAATTTAGTAGGCCATAAGATAGACGACATCCCTCCACTCCTCCTCTCTCTCCAACCAAACAATAGATTGAGGCTCTCCCTCCCCTCATCCATCCCTCCTACCAAACACCCTCTCATGTACCCAAAAAAAAAGGTGGGTTATTATAGCTCTATCACTATTTCTCTTATAAGAAATTTCTTCTCTATACAATAAAATCTCGATAAATGAATGTTCGATAAATTAATAACTTAATTAAATAATAAAATCTTATGATTCCAATTTGGGCCCATGTATTAAATTAATAATATATCTAAGTGTATAAGATAATATATATATATATATATATTTTCAAATTCCTTTATAGCCTAATAAAAATAAAAATTAATAATTAATTAAATACAAAAAAATAAAAATAAATAAATGACATAAAATTCATCATATATTCTAGGGATGTGATTTTATTGAATTGACGTAATAGGAGTTCACATAAATGACCGCCTCATTAAAAACCTTGCTAAGTAAAACCCGTGGGGAGATCGGGACAAAACCTTAGTGAAGGAAAAAAAAGTAGTAACTAGGAATAGTAAATTACAAACCTAAGTGCTTCCAGAAAAATATTCTTGCATCGAATCATCTGTGTATTGTTATTTTCGTCTTCTGGCATCTTTCCAGTCTTTAACGCACATTAGGCCCTCCAAGATATCTAGATGCATTCTGCTTCTCTTCTCGTCAAGAATTCGGTTGCTTGCGCTAAAAGCTTGCTCCGATGCTACTGTTGACACTGGAGTTGTCAAAATGTCACGAGCTATTATGGATAGTGTTAGAAAATGATCGGTCTTGCTCTTCCACCACTGTAAGATGTCTAGTTTGTCGTCATCGATTACAAAATTTGCTTCAAAATATTTTACTAGTTCCGTAGACGGTTGTGTTGAGGACGATCCTGCCGTTTTTTCTTTCTTCTTCAAGAAACTCCACGACGATCCTTTAGGCCCCGAACTGGTAGTTGACGCTGAAGTTCCCTGTTCTTTTTTACCTGTGCTGTATTTTGCTTCATACAAACTAAAAACTTTTTCTAACATTTTCTTAGCGTTAGTAATACTTAGTTGCATAACTATTTTTAAATTCTCTGCGACAGCAGTCATCAATGATTCAGTTCCATCTACTCCGCACCTAGGATCTAAAATGGTTGCCAATGCATATAACATAGGACAACTTGACCAATAACTTTTAAATTTATTTTCCATTAACTTAACTATATTTCTAAAAAGTTATGTATCCCTATAATATGAAAATATTTTTGAAATATTAAATAGTTGATGTAAAGCTAAATGTGCATTAGGATAATAAACTCTGAAAAGTAATTCAATAGCATTGTAAAAAACTTCTAAAAATTTAAAAAAATACTCAGCAATCTGCCAATCAGGATCGAAAATTAAAATTTGATCGTTCTTACTGTTTACGTATGTCGTGATAAGCTGTGAATACGAGAGTGCTGCCCTCAACATTAAATATGTTGAATTTCACCTATGTCTCATGTCAATTGGAAACTTTCTTGGATGCATATGACTGTTACTGCAATATTGTTTGAATTCTTGGAGCTGAGCTCCAGAACTAGATATGAATGATAATGATTCTTTAATATTTGTAAGATTAGCTAAGATATATTCAATTCCTGCATCAACTACTAAATTAATTATGTGACATGCACACCGTTGATGAAAAATTTTCCCTCCAAATGCTAGTTTCAAACTACGTTTAAACAGATTAATTGCAATTGTATTAGCCGACGCATTATCAAAAGTAATTGTTAAAACTTTATCTTCTATCCCATAAAACCCAAAAATTTCCATTATTGTACTAAAAATAGATGATGCATTATGAGGATATGGACATAAACGAAAACCAATTATTCTTTTTTGTAAAACCCAATCGTCGTTAACGTAGTGCGCTGTGACACATAAATATTCAGTTTTATTGCACCCTTCCCACAGATCAGAAGTGCAAGAGACAGTAGCATTAAAAGTCCTAAAATTATCAACAAGAGATTATCTCATTGCATAAAAAGCTTTCATGCAATCAGAACGAATTGCGTTTCTATTTACCCGTTTAAATTGTGGGCTAAAGGCTGTCTGGATGAATTCTTCGAACGAGGCATCATCTGCAAAAGAAATAGGCAATTCGGCACTAGCTAGAAATTTAGCTAGTGCCTCACGAGCACGTTGTGCGTCGTATGTAAAATTTTGTAACCCCTGTGATGTGAGTGATAGTGTTTGTTGGCGGGAGTCCACACTCCCACCTTGGTGCAACAGTAGACATACTTTCCAATGTCTATCCAGATGACCAGTACCCCCCACCATTTTTTATTAGAAAAGTGTTTTTTACAATATTTACATACCGCGTAAATTTCCATCTCACCTGTTTTTGGATTTGGTCAAGGCTCATCGGTGAAATGTTGCCATGACGGAGAAGTTCGCGGTCTTTTTTCCCTGTTGCGTTCTCCAGCTTCCTCGTTGTGCACTGAAACATTATCCACCAGAATATTTTCTGGTTCAGTGGGGGTGGGGTGGGGAGGCATCATTTCTTCCTCCAAAAATGCCTCATCACCAAGCTCAAGAATATCAATGAAATCAGGGAAGTTTGGTGCGGCCATTTTCTGGAAATTGATAGAACTTTGTAAATGAAAGAGCAAGAAAATGAATGAACGTAAGAAAAAAACTTAGAATCAAAATCAAAGAGACAAGTTGAGAGATAGAATTAGAGTGAGATAAAAAGTTGAGATTGAGTTGTTGTGTGGGATTTATGGTGGAATTAATGGGTATTTATAGGGAATTTTGGGGTGAAATTCCGGATTCTAGCCGTTGGGCCCTTCGCGGGCCCAACGTGCGGCACGTGACGGGCCTCCCATTTGGCCCGCGAAGGGCCCCCTGGACCAATTGAAATGGGCAGTTTCACGGGCTTGGGCCGGGCCGAACAAGGGCCTAATTAGGGCTTGGGCCGTGCCGAACAAGGGCCGTGCCACGGGCCTCTACGTGCTTGGGCCGCGAGCTGAGAAGTTGAGGCCCAGCCCTAGCCCACTACACGTGCCGGGCCGACACGTCCCGTAACAGTAGCGAACCGGGCCGTGCCGAATCCGGCACTATTACGAGCTGGGTCGGGCCGTCCCATTTAACACCTCTAGTCATAGCCCAAAACTTAAAGATGGGAAGTGTCGAGCCTAGCCTAAGCCTGGATGTTCATATAGTTTGGGTTTGAATTGTCCATTCGTGGACTACGTTTCACTTCTTTCTTGGGTCAAGACTCGAGAGTAGAACCCATATTCCCGGTCTTGATCTTAAACAAAAGTTACAGTGGATGGACAAAGTCTATTTAATTCGCTAATTTAAGTTTTTTAATTCGAGTTAAGATGTGACTTTATATGAGTTTTTTTACTGTAGTAAAAAAGTTAAATGTGATTGTTTCTGAAAGCATTTTACTGTAGCAAAACTCGAATCGGTGAAATGAACGAGACCTTAGTAATTTTTAATAATTATACAAAATCACCTATTTTTTGGAAGGATTTCATACACGTCTAAATATCACATTACATAATAATGAGTAATGCTAGAGACACGAATTCAAATCCTAAATCTTGTGTATTAACTGATATGATATGTGAATTGTCATTTTTTTTATTGGTGAATATAATCTCTTATCATTAATTGACGTGATAATGTTTTAAACACCCATAAAAATGACACCTTATATGCCACATCAATTAATATAAAAGAGTTAAAATTTGAGTTAGTGTCCATAGCATTCTAACAACTAATAATTATAGTGACCATACAACTTTTTTTTTTTGTTGTTTTTCATTTAGGGAGTTTCTATTCCTAAAAAAAAGTTAAGGAGTTTATCTGATATAACAAAAAAAATTTAAATCGATGATGACATAAAGTATTATAAATACTTATGGTACTAAAAATTAAACGTTACGTACGGGCAACCAATACCATGAGGACGATTTGCCTTTCTTTTGTTTCCTTATTTTTGACAAGACGAAAATTTCCGTGTAAGAATTTTTTTGGGTTTCCTTGCGAGGCTTCGAAACAAGGATGAAAGTCCGCAAGTCAAAATTTTCATCTTTGAATACTAAAATCATATTTAAAAAAATAACACTTTTATTTTAGCCATCAATTTTAAATTTATCATATATGCTATTAGTAATTTAATAGGATATCTTTCATATTTCTACCAGAATATATTTAGTGGCATTAGTTATTCTTGTATTTTTTTTTTTGTTCTTTTTCTTTGACTTTGCTCTTTACTTATAAATTGCCGAAAGCAATCTTAATTGAAAAGCAATATTTAGCAGCATGATAGATTAGCTAGTGATTAAAAAAAAAAAAAACTGCACGAAGTAAGGTATTTTCTGAGTTTGAGATTTAGATATCACACGCAATTTCAAGGAAATAACATATTAATAATAGTTTTTTTTTTCCTCTGGTCATACTAATGATAGTTATATGTTATAATGGCTTCATTTAGACATCTGCAATTTTATTTAGATCTTCCAATTTCCGAAGTATTATTTGCGTTTTCCCTTTTCCACAAAGCGTGTGCCTAATTTCCTGTCCTTGTAGATGGGGAAAAAAAGGCAATCAATCCAACTCATCTTTTTCCACACGGAACTTTGGAAAAGAAATCTGTACAGTTAAGATGATGAAATATTCGAATTTGACGTCTTTCTCGTTTGTTCTCCACCAAAATGTCAATCCCTCTGGTCACTAGTTTCTATCTTCATTCAAGTCCCGTGTTGCCCTTTTTTTTTTTTTTTTTTTGGTGATGTCAGCATATTAAGGGCTTGTTTGAGTGAAAAACTCAAAAAAAGCAACTCGAGTTACAATTTTATTCGAGTCCATGTTCTTTTAAGTTTAAACTCGAGTTCAAACTCGAGTTTAGGACTAAAACTCGAGTTCAAGTTTCCCCTTCAACTCGAGTTCAGAAACTCAAACTCAAATTAATGAACAATATTTTTTCTATTCTTAAAAATGCTATAACTTTTTCGTTTTAATTTTGATTGAGATGATTTTTTTTCTATGCGTTGATAACGAAACGACGAATAAAACCCGACCCATATACCCTATTAAAATTTTTCATCAGCATTGAGTTTTTATTAAAATACTATATAAATACAAATTCAAGTTTTGACTCACTCAAACACAAACTCAAAAAGATTCTTATCTCAAATCATAACTCAAATGTATACAACCAAACACAAACTCAAGTTACAAGTTCAACTCAAGTTATAACTCAAATTTAACTCAAGAATTATACTCAAGTTAAAATCTAAAAGAATAAGCCCAGTATTTCTTGCCTCATATGAACTAAAATTGTGACCCCCAACTGCATAACATTTGGATATTCATAGTAGTTAATCAATGTCTTGTTTTCTTTATTTTTTATTTTTAGGGAAAATTGTCTGCTTATGAGAAAAAGAAAATGTGACCCAAAATAAAATTACACCAATGATGGAGCTCTCCGTTGTTTTTGTACCTTGTCTTATTAATTAGTTGCAAGTTGCTCTTAGAAAACTTGTATCTTATCCAAATCACTACTGTTTTATTAATTTTTTCCAACTGCAACGCTATTGGTTGTCATGTTTTGACCTATAAATTTATGAGGATTTTTTTCCGGTCCGCCAATATACTGGTAGATAAGTTTTCTGTCTGTCGAATTTATATAAAATTAAGTAAAAATTAAAAAGTATAAAGATCTAACGATTAAAAAAATTTGACATACCGATACGTCAGACGTACTAGAGAATCTCCTACATGTATATTATATTATTGTCAAACTTTTGTTATTTTTATCAAAACTTTTTCCCCTTTATAATTGTCATTTTATTTATAAGAAGATTTTATGGAATGCTGGAGTATCGGTATGTCAGGTTTTTCTATAAGTTAAATATGTATGTTTTTTAATTTGTATATAATTTTATGCATATTTAACTGACAAAAAATTTGATTTACCGATATATTGACGTACCGGAGACTTTTGTCTATAATATCTAGGGGGCGTTTGGTATGGGGTAATCATATGAGTGGGAATGGGAATCTTTCAGATTCTAATGTTTGGTACAATTATTAGACTTTTTTAAAACCCAGGAAAGTGAAGCCCATGGGTTTCACATTACCCCATTTTATGGTAATCCTAATCCCACCCAATAAGATGTTATTCAAATTCCCAGGAATCTCAAAATCATGAGAATCTCATAATAATAAAAATAAAAATAAAAATAATAATAGTAATAGAAATAATAATAATAATAATAATAATAATAATAGTAATAATAATAATAATAATTATTGTTATTATTATTATTAATATTATAATAATAATTAATAATTAATAATAATAATTAATAATAATAATAATAATAATAATTACTATTATTACTATTATTATTATTATTATTATTATTATTATTATTATTATTATTATTATTGTTATTATTATTAT